ATCTTTTGATTGTTGGATTTAAAATTTTTGGTTCGTTTTTTGGGATCTTTTCATGAAAAATGCATATTTTCATGAGTCATTGAAACCTTTTCGTGGTGTATTGATTGAAAACTATATATATAGGATGGTTTTAATTTCTAGAAATAATTTTAACAATTGAAAACAACAAATCATTCCATTCATAGAGAGATGATCAAACTCCCGTACGTATTCACACTCCCTTTGTGTTCGTTGAGTTTTGGAAGTAAAATACTAATGCTTAAGTGTTTTCTTCTTCAAGACTCGATCAATTCTACAAATCATTTGTTGAGAGTCCCTTTAAGCACCAATTTAATCCTAGAAGGAGTAAATATTGTTTGAAGACAACGATCTCGTGTTTGAGCATTTCTATCAAGTTTTTGGTGCTCTTGATTCTATATGTTTGTTCTTTTCTCCATTTTCCTTGAAGGATAATTTTCCAACAATCTCAAACAATGTTTTATGGAGAACGAAACTACCATGGACACTATTAAATTCATAAATCAACACCGTGTTCGCTTGGATCCATTCAACGAAACAAATTTCACTCGATGGCAGGACAAGTTGAAGTTCCTTCTCACAGTATCGAAAATATTCTACATCCTTGATCTGGAGTAGGCACCACTACCAAAACCAACAAATGGAGACACCGATGCCATAAGAGCCGAAAGGCAAATGATAAATTGATTTGTCGCGGTCAAATACTCAATCATCTTCGATGAAAGAGATGTGGAATGCTTTGGAGAACAGATACAAAATCGAAGAAGTACAAAGAAATTCCTGATGTCAAGATATTTCGATTTTAAGTTCCCAAAAAATATTTCCCTTCTTCCCCAAATGCATGAGTTACAGGTGCTTGTCAACAAATTGAAGGCAGTCAAAATAGAACTTTTAAAATCCTTCCAAGTGGGAGCAATCATTAGAAAACTCCGAGGGCACATGAAAATGATATCGAAAGAAGATTCTTCATAGTTCTGAATATTACTCTTTGGAACATATTCGGAAACATCTTCGAAATGAGAAAGAATCGAGGGCAAGAGATAAGATTGAAAACTCTTATAAAGTCACTTCAAAGGCCAATGTCATGGAAAAAAAATCGAACCTTTCAATTGTCATGCGTTTTCTACAACGTGAATTTATGCCGCAAGTGTACGGTGTCAAGTTTTGCATTTTAATAATTGAGTAAAGAGTGCCGAACTCACACGGATTGTAATTCAATTTCTACCAA